GAAAATTGCAGCATCGCAAATTTGATCAAAACTTCAAATATTGTTTTCTCAAAAACTAAGTTATTTTTCAAAACGGGTTGGTTCATTGGAAAGACGACACTTTTGTTAATACTTTGGGACATTTTTCGTGTTGGGTTTGTTACAATGAGGTTGCTAATGATAAATAAAGTTGTATTCAATGAAAAAATCCTATTGGGGTTGAACGTGATTATTATCTGCAGTGTCCAACACCTAAAAGAGATACTAATTCCTGTGAATAGTGGAGTACTAAGTAAAAGGTTTCTTATATCCGGCCGGATTTTAACGAATGACCGGATAGGCCGGATACCGGATAGTTGCCAGATATCTCTTCCACCACTAGTCTTTACATAAGTCATAAACCAAAGCCTTCAATAAATAAATGCATGGCAAGGTGAGTATCGAATGAGTCCTCAAAGCCCTCCTTACATGATTCTCAGCCATTTAAATCAAGCAATAATCTATTGTTGTTGTAATCTATCCTTTTTATTATCTGTGTGGTATTAATATAAAATACATATCGTCGGCTTAGTAAGAAAACGACGTAACTCCAATTTTTAACAAAAATAAGATTTTGATGTAATTATGCAACAAATTATTAAATCTACCAATTCCGAAAACTACGCGTATATTGGAATACAAGTTTCCACTCAAATGCTTAAAATGAAAAGCATTTAACACGACTGTCAAAAAAAAAACAGTTTTTTCTGTCTCCTGTAAAATTTTCCAAAACGGAGTTACGTGGTTTTCTTTCGAAGCCGACGATATGCGCCCTTACCTATAAGAGTTTCAATTCAGGACGATAAAAACAACAATTTTGAAACAATTATACGAAAAAAAAGAAAAATGCAAAACAAGAACTATACTTGGTTCTGCTGAAACATCTAACTTGAAAGCAGTAATAAATTACTCTTACCTATATGTATCAAAACTAGACAAGGACACTTCAGTAGAGGATATCAGAAGAGGGGTTTCATGATATCAAATATTAAACTCTGTTTCAACATCATGACAAATTAAAATCAGCAAGCATTTGGCCAATAGGCACTATGATTAATCATTTTATTGGAAGATTTAGAAACCAAATCAGGTTAGGACTTAGGAGAACGTAGAAATAATAAAAATAACGATCCCCTGGAATGTTCGACTAATGATTTAACTAACATTTTGTGTATTAATATTCAAGGCATCGAGAAAGATTGGATGTTTGAAGTTGTACTGCAACAATATCAGATAAAAACTCATATTTATTTATGTATAAGTGGTTAAGAGCATTGGTTGAAAAAAGATTAACTCAATTTGATAACCTCCTCCTTCTTTAAAATTTTCTCTCTGGTTGTATCTTTTAGCAGCATCTCTGTTTGAAAGAGGAGGAGTTGCAACATTTATTCACAATACTTTCTCGTTATTTATTTCACTACTTTGAATAATCTAACAATTCTAAGCTGATAAATTTGAAAACCACACTTCTAAACGTGTACAGATCACCTTCCGCTAATTATAATGATTTTATTAACAAATTGGAAGTAACCTTATTTGCTGTGAGGGGTAATCAAACTAGTGTCATGTTATTTGGTGATTTCAATGTAAATTTTATGGAAAGTAGCCATACAATTAAGAAATTGAAAGATTTTATGGAATCTTTTGAGTTAAAACAAGAAGTCTTTTAACTAATTCGCATAACAACTACCTCTCAAACATGTATTGACAAGTTGTTTATAACGTCTATTCATGAAAATAAATCTACTGTATCAGCCATAAACCTCATCTGTTATGTGAACAGAGTCATGTGAAATATATCAAAAGCACAAGAGAAAATATAAACATGATGTGAAAAAGGCAAAGCAAATCTACAATGGTAATTATTATTATTATTAATTACAAGTAATTAGCAACAACTTTAGAATAAATTCCAAACACAGCATCAAAACTAACATAGAGCCTGTAGACCTCAATAACTTCTTTACGAATAAACAAGCATTAAAAAATACAGTCAATCAACAAAAGTTTTGAACAAATCCATAAGAAGGGTAGTGCGGATAATCCGAACAATTTTCAACCAATTTCTTGTCAATTATGTCAAAGATATTTGAGTATTTGCTAAAATCATGTGTTTAGTAAAGACCAATATGGTTGAGAGGAAATCCTCCGCAACTAAAGCAATAATCGATCTACTTGAAAAAGTTATGAACTTTTTCAATGAGTCAAAAAAAGTCTCGGTACAGATGCTGGATCTAACAAAGGCAAATTGTTAGATAATTTAAACAATTACGGTATAAAGCGCTCGATGATTTCAATGTTTAAATCTTACTTGACAAACTGAGGATAACTGGTACAAAAACGGTAGTTGCAAGTCGACTATTAAAAAGGTGTGGATTGGTGTAATACTTGAAAATATGCAGTACTATAATATTTGTAGACGATACAACTCTGGTTAACGAGGCGATTTCCAATGACAAGCTAAAAGAAGATGAAGTTTTTAGTCAGATGGTCGCTTCCGACTGGTTTAAAGCTAATACACTGCAACTGAATGAGAAAAAAAACACAAAGAATTGAGTTTCACACTAAATCCACTGATGCAACAACTAAACTACTGGGAGTACTCCTAAAGAGTTCTCTGAAATGGAATGCACAGATACATGGAGTTGGAAAGAAACTCAGTTCAGTAATTTTTCAGCTGAGAATAGTGATGAGATTGACAGATCGATATACAGCAATGTTTTATAGTATGTTGTTCTGGGGAAGTTCCCTAGGAGCTGAACGAATATTTATAATACAAAAAAGAGCAGTTGGAGCGTTGATAAATCCAAATCAAATGGAGAGCTGTAAACCATTGTTTAAAGAATTAAAAATAATGACTGTCTATTCGCTGTATATCTAGATGGCTTATTTTCATAAAACAAAACATGAATGATGTGTCGTGTAATTTGTATCTCTACAAATTCCATACCATCGATTGACTACCTGTCAACAATTGGTATATTATCAGGGCGTAAAATTTTATAACAAGCTATAGATACAACTACATCAATGCTCCATTACAAAAAGAGATTAAGGGAGCACTTTGGTGAAAACCCATACTAAGGTATCAGCGAGTTCATTGATTCGCCAGACAAACTGAAGCTGTAGAAGTTAATCAAGAAGAACTGATAAGGATTTTGTTCAAAATTATTCCTCTTTTTGGTTTAATTTCAATATTTCAAAATTAGATAAAAATTGTACACTTACGATTGGATACTTCTTCTGAATGCCCTTCACTTTTGTTTTGATTAGGTCGAATTCTTATCTTGTTCAAGGAGAAAATTCAAAAGGTAAACCCTACGAAATTAATTTTGATAATGCCAAATTGAAATTTTAATGAATTTAATACCAAATTGTGTTTTCTTAGTACTTTCATTTGTTTTCTATTTTTATCGTCATTGTTGGACGCGATTAAAATCCGTTTTCTGATATAAAAGAATACTTGAAGTGCAGCATTTCACATCCAACTTGAAAAAAATACCTGAAAAATACTTTTATCATTAGAAGGCTTAAATATAAATATAATACATAAACGAGTTAATATTTTCTAATTAAAAATATAAAATGATAAAAATGTGTTTGTATAATTCCTAATAAAATCAAAAATAATACCTAAAACTCTATCTTTAAAATGGCAAAATTAAAAGGTTATAAAAAGAAAAAATCGTATATTCAATAATTTCTGAAAATTTTTATTATTTTTATTTAATCCCTATGAGATACAAAAAACAAACATTGCGTCTAGTAATTCTCCCTAAAATAACACAGAGCAATTGTATGGGAAGTGAAATGTTGTCCAAAACACAAAAGATAATTATAATATTTTTTAAAAAATAAAGAATACACTTAGTTTTAAAGCGGAGTCGAAATATAGACAGATTTTATTACACTAAAAAGAGAACAGTATTAATAGAAAAGAAATGATAAAAGACAACAATCAAATATTTAAATAAAAATATAAACATATCACTTCGCATCTCGCTCGTCTTCTCCCCTCCTGGCACTTGTACAAAATACGCCCAAACAAGAGGAGACGACGTTCTTTCATCAATAATTATAATATTTTAATTAAACGTATTATTTCGTCATCGCCATATCATCGATATTTTTTTCTCTTTTTTTAAGTTTGATATCCACAAAATATAGACAATCCAGTACTTATCACTTTGGTGAAATTGGTTATTATATTGTCCATATTTAATGCACATAAAGGCGCATCGTTTTATGCACAAAGAGTTTCCTCTTTTTATTTTAATCCATTTTATTTCGTTTTAACAATCGTTAGGGTGTTGATTTTTTTTGTTTACATCATTTCAATAAAAAATATTATTCTGCTCTGCTTATCCTACGGGGTGGGGCTCTTTTCTCATGATTAGTTTTTTTTAATAGAAAAAAGAAAACGTCACAAAATAAATCGACATAAAATCGAAAAAATCAAATTAGGTATTACATATTAGCTGATAACTTAAACTTGTAAAAACGTATAAATAAATTTACATACAGAATCTTAGCAGTTAGATTTTTTTTCAAGTTACATATTTTTCCATTCATTTATTTTTGTTAAAATAATACATTTAAAATCATATATTTATTATAATACAGATATTAAATAACCGTATTATTTCTTTAATTACAATTATTATAACCCAACTGCTCAGATTTTTTAACTATAAAGTTTTTTTCTTTGTATGTTAATTTGTTGTCCTCATTTCTTATAGAACCCGTTGTTGTGTACTGCCTGAGTACAGACTACAATTATGTCAAAAAGTTTAAATTAAAAACAGTTATAAAAAATGAAATGATCCGATATAGATATATTTATATATTATGTATATTTATATTTATAAAAGACGCTTTACTTACTTTTTTTTAATCTTTAATACACGATTTTTGGATGATTTATTATCAATTTAAAACGCACATGATTCAAATCAAGTCTTTTTATTTGTAATCTATTCTAATTTTTTTTTTACCTAATCATTTATTATTATTTTTGTTGTATTAAAAAAATCACGTGCTTTTCTAATTGATAATAACCACCCAAAAAAAAGAAAAAAGAAACAGTACAAAAACAGCGATTGAAAAAAATCACTTAACCTATTGAAAAAATATACACAGAAGTCGTTAGATTTCTTTCAATCGGCAGTTTTCTCTGTTAAAAAAATCATGTCATCATCATCGTTATCATCATCATCATCATTACTTCCTTAGCGTTTTTGTATAAGTACTTAATTACATTTAAAAACGGATCTTTATGAATTTTTTCTCTTTTGTTTGTCTCTCTTTGTTGTAGTTTGTTATTTGCTTAATAAAGGAAAAAAATTAAAAGGGTTGTAGAACATAAAATTAAAGATAAAAATAAAAAAGAACACTTGCTAACTTTGCTTATATGTACACCGGAGGAATGGATGAATGAAAAATATGAACGATTTTTTTGTTTTTTTTTTTGTTTTGTAATCTTAACCAACGATTTTCAACGAACGAACATGTGTTTTGTTGATGAGGATGAGCGAGCGCGGAGAGATGATGAAGGCTTGGTGAGGTAACGGCTGAGGTGTGCCACCCCCGCATATTTTTTTAAATATTATATTTAAAGGGGCGGCAACGCGCGATCGACGTCGTCACTCACTCACTCACTCCTTTTTAATCGTCTTCATCCTCGTCGACTTCCTCCTCCTCGTCTTCGTCTTCATCGGGTTCGGGTATGGTTTGTTGTTGAACCGCCGGGTTGTTTTTCATCTTGTACGCCGTCATTTCCTAATTTTTTAACAATAAAAAATATTTTAGAGTTCAATTTTTATCAAATTTTAATTATTTACTATTTATATAATTCTTTTATTTATGAAAATTATTGCAAATTCTTTGGAAACATAAATTTGTGGAAAAAAAGATTTAGTAAGAGAAGATAGAGATGGAGTTGTGAAACGCAACCGATGCCGAAATGTGTGGTTTCACATAAAGTTGGATGAAACGACTACAATACATTCCATCCAAGGTAACACTATAGAACATCTTAATAATTAATTGTTACTAAATGTGCATCTCAGATATACTAAATATTGTCGTGGAGCTGAAAACCAACAACTGGACAAGAATAAGAATTGAGAAAGGAATGACACAGTGATCCTATAGCTGACCTGTTTTTTTCTGTTTAACAGATGAAGCTGTCCTGTTTCTTGCTCAACCAGAGGATGTTGTACCAAGGCAAACAAGAGCATCCAAGAAAAGGTATGGTTCAAACAACGAAATGAGCTTTGCAATCAGATTGCCTGAGGGACATAATATGGCAAAAAAAGTGTATGTCTATAGAAAACAAGGTCCGCATATATAAAACTCATGTACTATCTATTGTTATGACATAACACATGTAAAAAGCTGAAAAGACTACCCATAGAAACCAGCACAAGACAGGAGAGACAGTTTGCTATACAGAGTCCTGCTTCTGATTAATAAAGATAGATCGTCCAGAGGATGTTGTACTAAATCAAGCAAGAGCATCTAAGAGAAGTTATATCTCAAACAACAAAATGAGCTTTGCAATCATATTGCCTGAGGGACATAATATGGCAAAAAAAGTATATGTCTCTAGAAAGCAAGGTCCGCAAGATCTATTGTTATGACACACGCGATACATAAAAAGCTGAAAAGGCTACCCATAGAAACCAGCACAAAGTAGGAGAGACAGTTTGCTATACAGATAAAGCAGTCCTGCTTCTGGATAATAAAGATATATCATCCAGAGGATGTTGTATCAAGTCAAGCAAGAGCATCTAAGAGAAGTTATATCTCAAACAACGAAATGAGTTTTGCAATCAGATTGCCTGAGGGACATAATATGGCAAAAAATGTATATGTCTCTAGGAAGCAAGGTTCGCATATATAACCCATGTAAGATCTACTGTTATGACACACGCGATACATAAAAAGCTGAAAAGGCTACCAAACAATCATCCTTAGAAACGTTTAGGTCATTAACAGGATATACCTTATGGGACCATAAAACAAGTCAATTGTGAGCTAAGCCTGTAAAAAAATGATTTTGGATGGAAGCCTCAAGACTAGACAAGGATAATCATAGATGGACTCTCAAGAGCAAACAGACCCCCAATATGGTGGTATGATAAAAGCTAGATGTCAACTTCCCAGCATAGGCTGTTGAATAATTAAGCAACAAAACAGATGTCCTAAAATAAGAAGAACATAAAAACATGAAAACATGAAATCTGTTCACAAAAAAGCTATGTAACATCCAATTAGATGTATCTATTAGAAAAAAGAATAAAATTATTACGAGAAAATCTTAATCAAAGACAGATTAAACAAGATGACAATATAAAGAATGGGATAACTGTGGAAGAAATACAATACATTCAAAGGCACGATGCAAGGCCAAGGCAAAAAAGTCTGCTGACTACATAAAAGAGCAACTTCTTACATAGGCAACATTAGTAGACATATGTACCAATTAAAGAAGACATTACTGCGAGGCTCATTTTTATTTACTAGTTAATTTAAGAAATTACTGATTAATTAACAACTAACGTGTTACAAGTATCAGGTGACTCATAGAATTCTAATGGATTAAACTACAACCCAAATATCTAGGGCAGTTTTGATGTAAAGTTGCAGCTCTCCAGTTCCATACTAAAAAATAATTTACTATCAAAACCCTTAAAAAATAAGATAATATATTTTTAAGTACCTAATTTCTCAATAGCTTCTATTTTCATAATCGTTAATTACAAATCGCTAAGCTTAACATTACCGTACTGAGGTGACGCACGAAAAAAGCTGTTGAAAAGCTCAACAACAACAATCAAGTTCCATGCTAAGTAACTGGGCGCAATCTTCCAATAATGTAAATCTGGTAAACTTTGCAGTATCATTAAAAATTTCAAAAAGAGGAAAACCATTCACTGATAGTGGCTAAGACAAAAGTTGTTTTATACGTGCATGTGAAGAACTGTTTTTTATTTTAAAAACAATGCAGAAATTATGAAAAAATCAAAAATTTGCCAGTATCTGCTAAAACAGTACAAGATAGAACTGCTAAAATGCCTTCAAATGTAACATATGCAAGTGTAAGACATTCAACTGGGTTCTGCCTTATCACTTGCTATAAATGACTCTTGCGACCAAAAGTAGAATTGCTAAGATTACTACCGCTAGCAGAGCAAACTCGTGGATAAGATATAGCAAATGCTGTACAAAAATGCATGAAAGGCAATGGAATAGATATAAATAAAATCGTTTCTATAGCAACTGATGGAGCCAGAAGTATGACAGGAACGACATTCTAACGTTTCACTGCATAATTCATCAACAAGTACTTTGTGCCTAAACATTTCCAGGCGAAATAGTTGAGGTCATGAACTTGATAATTAAGATTATTAACCAGTTTAAAGATTTCCTTGTAGAAATAGATAGCCAGTTTTCTGACCTACTTCTGCACAAAAACTGCGATGGCTTTCCAGTAGTAACGTATTACAAGATTTTGCTTTGTGCTTGAGTGAAATAAAAACATTCCTCAATGAAAGAAGCATTTACCATCCCGAATTGCAAGAATACAAATGGCTGCAAAAATTTAACTTCATGGTAGATACCACAATGAAACTAAATGAACTAAATCTAAAACTGCAAGGAAAGGGCAACCCAGCCTACGCCTTGCTTGAAGAAGTAATTTGTTTCGAAAAAAAATTACTTCATTTTAAAAATCTGAAGCAATATCGCGATGAGACCAATGTAACTATTGACACGAATTACTTCAGCAGAGCTTTAAAAAATATGAAAGATGGATTCGCTGAGAGATTCGAGCAATTCTAAACAAACATAAGTACTCTCGCGCATAGTAAATCCTCTTAACACAAATACAAATGAGATCAACATTAAAGCCATTTGGAATTGATGCTGGATCGCTTCAAATGCAATTGCTAGATTTGAAAACCAAAGACTTGTGAGTGGAAAGTTCACAGAACTTAAGAGCAAGTTGGAAGAATTGGAAGTCTAGAAAAGCATGCACATTGCGCAGCACAAGTGGACAGCTCTAAAAGAAATTTCGCGAGTTGAGGCCCTCATATTCGGCGCATAGAATAGTCTTCCAGAATGCTACAGTGAGGCGAGAAATTCGCATATGGAGTGCTGACGATCTTCGGGTCTACATATATAAACTAGTAACAGTCCATTTTGAAAAAATACATAAAAATACATACTATACATCTAGAAACATGGTTTGCATTAATGAGTTTTCCATAATCACCCAACATTCTTAGTAATTGGACGTATAAAGAAAGTTGTCACGTTTTGTTGCAAATTTGTTTAGCTTAACACATTTGAGAATCGTTGTTCATCAAACAAACAATTTAGTGCAACAAAAATATTAAGGTCACATTAGATGTCCTGAAATGCAACTGGACCATCAAGTTCTTGTGATTTAATGCTGTGTAGTTACTTGTAGAATTATTCAAAATCTAAGTCATGCCAATAATCAAAAAAAAGTTTTATTTCAAAATTAAATGGCGTTCACTTTGAGATACTCTTAGTATTGAGATACTACTTGGAAAATATTAACTCTCATTCAATGAGACTATTACTGACTTCATAGTGTCTCAAAAATTGTTACAATAAATATTATATATTACAAATAATAGCTTCAATACCAACTGCACATTAAATATTGATATTCTATATTGATATTGAGGTTTCAGTATTTCTTAATAGTTGAGCTTATTTGTGGTAACAACTAAAACTAAACTCTGACCAAACCACATCGATTCAAATAATCTAAATTCACAGTTAAGGAAAATGTAAATCAACCCTTAACATTTTTTTTGGTCCTTTTAAAAACTTTTTATACAAATAAAGGTGAGCACCAGAGACAACAATTAATAAAATTAGAAACAATAACTTATTTTAGAAATTATTGTAAAATATTCCAATTAGCTATAATAGCTTTAACAATGATACATTTGAATGTACTTTTGTACATTTATAATACAAATATATCTATGAATTATTGTTTAATCATTGTTAAATAACAGCCCATATTTCATAATTAGTAATTATATGTAATCGTAAATATTTTGAATATCTTATCATTACAATTATCAAAGTAAAAAAGTTGAACTAAACTGATAAAATACAATACTCTGATACTATCATAAAATATAAATTAATAAAAAAAATATTAAAATCAGATAAAAAAATTGAGTGAACTGTTAAAAAACCCTTCATGTCACTTTTATATTAAAACCATTTTTTACCTTTTCATAGCGGGCTTTATCCTTTTCAGCCATAGCTTCGTATCTGCCCTTAACTTCTGGGTCGGCATCCGCCCACCTCCTGCCTAATTCCTTGGCGATGTCGCCGACGCCGTATTCAGGATTAGCACCCTTAACTTTGCCGCGTTCATCGTTACAGAACCAGAAGAACGCAGACCTATTTGGCATAATTAAAGAAATTAATCAAAATGTTACACAACAAAAGATTAAAGAGAAGGAGATTTTTTTTCAATAAGGAAATCATTAAATGTGCGATTTAGAAGTCGTTTTCTCAAAGAAATTATTTAAAGTCTTCGAGATCTTTTCCCCTAAATCTGTTAGGAATTTACTTTAGCACGGTATTATAATCAAAAAATCATTCGAAATAATAATTTAATGACTGATCAAGCCGTGCAACTAAATTATAAAATTTTTAAAAACTTACAGCGAGCGTTTTGGCGCGTTCGGATCTTTCGGCATTTTCCTCTTCTTGCCGCGTTGCTTTTCACCCTTGGGAGGTGTGTACTTTTGCATTTCAGCATCGTAACGCTTCTTGTCCTTTTCAGCCATTTCATGGAAACGTTGCTTTTCTTTGTCTAACATGGTCTAATACAAAAAAATAAGAATAAGAACATTATATTCATTATTATTTTTGACAAATATATTAATATATCTTAGATTTTGTTTCATTATTTAAAAATTATTTAATTTAATTTCAAACGGACTAATTTTCTCGTAAAGATGTTAATTGTTAAATGTGGTTAATACAATATTTGTACTAGCGCAAAAATAACATAAATTGATGAAAGAATAATGTTTCGTCAGTTTTAAGAGGGAACGATTAATTAATATACTAAAATATAAAAGGTTTTTTTTAGTAACTTGATTGATAATTTTTTAAGGCAACATTTACTTTCACTTCTTAGTAAGTTTTTTATGGACACAAAAAAAGAATATTCAAGGAAATTATGAATCAGAATATACCAGAGAGGTGAGTCAATCTTGGTGAGAATTTTCACCAAGGTATAGCACCAAAATATGTGATAAAAGGAGAACATTAATAAAGTGGTTTAAGTCCAACGAAATCGATAATAAAATTGAATCAGTTAAATTATGTAGAATTTGTCGCTCGATTTCACATAATGAAACTAACGGCCATAAAATTAAAGTATGAAGACTACTGCATTTATGAAGTAGTAAAACTTCTTAAGTATAGTTTTATGTTTTTGCTATCGTGATCAAAACAAGTTATAGAAGAAATGATCGAACTCTTTAAGAAAATAAGTTACTAAAACGATATTTAGGCTTGTAAGGAAAAATTTCGGAATATAAGATGAACCGAAATGGACGAGGAGGAAATTGTAATCATTAATGTTATGAAACTAATTTCTTCATTATGTTAGAAATATTGGAGAAAGAAAGAGAAACTGTAGTGTCGAAGAAGTATTGTTTAGAATTTCAACATCTAAAGCAAAAATTGCCATGATGATAGCCAAACTTTTTAAAGAAGACGCCACATAAAGAATTTATTAATCAGAATCGAAAATTTATTAATTATTGTGTCAAGAATACCTCTAACGATTTAGTTAACCAATCTTCATCGTTTCCTTCATCTCATTTATGCTTTGAATTCTTGTGTTAAAAACTATAGCAGCTAATCACGATTGTTTAACAAATTTTCACATTGCTAATAATTGTTTTTAAATCTTAAGGATTTTTCAAATACCAAATTCGATTGGTAGTTATAGAAATATTTCCTCTTTATCGCTGCAGGGCCTTACCCGCTTAATACGAAATATTAACTATTGTTATTTAATCGATCTGTTCCAATTTAACTTTCCTTCAAAAAAGATTATAGTAATCTTAGTCTCCATCAACAAGTCTTATTTGATGGTTACATGTTTTCTATATCTATTGAGATGATTAACTTATATTTTCGGCAATTATTGAAGCAGGATTTATGACGTTGACGAAAATTTATGACTTACTGGTTACATTAAAAAGACTCTCAGCTTATATTTCACTGGACCATCATTTGAAGTTTATTTTCTCCATGTATCTACACAACCATGGATTTTTTACGAGATGATTTTATGGCAGAAACAATCGGTTGAGTTTGTAAATATGAAATATTTGAAGAGGATTTGAGGAATGGAGTTATAAATTTCCTTCAATGATAGCGAATTGTTTTTCCTGTCCTAGTAACAACGTAGATTGCAGTGGAAATATATGATATTTCAATCCAAAACCGCTAGGAGAGGAAAAATCTAACACCGCGATCAATCTGCTAAAGACTAAAGATTTGAGATGGATCTGTTCATTCCTAATACGGTTTGCTACTAGTTCTGCATTTTATAAAGGTATGCATGTTGTGCTCAATTCATAGCATTAAATCTAATTACCAACAAGAGGTGTACAACATACACAATTCCTAATCGTCATCGATATTAAATTGACACGGGCTTCACGTGCTTTCCAATATGCAAAATTGGGAAGTTCTCCGTTTAACACGTCTGGATATGTCAGGTATTATAAGTCATGATTAGCCTGCAACATGTATTACACTTCTGGTTTGACCCCACCGTCATCGACAACTGCTAGAAGCATGCCGAATTAGCTTTTGTTAAATACGCACATGTCTCTTAACATCCTTTCTTATACGTAGAAAATAGTTTTTGCTTGAATACACTTACAAAGTATTTTTTAAATTGAAGTAAGCTCAAAAAATATGTACCAAGTTATGAAATTACGGAAATATCTTTATTAGATGTTGGTAGGAATATTTGATACCAAGAACAAATAATGGTAAGATTTTCAACCAATTAAACAATCCACCCCTATATCATTATCCAGGATTAAATTCGAGGTCTTATAAAAGGCATGGAAAAAACAGAAGTGGTCGAGTTTTCGACTAATCCTTGGGTCGCGCTGTTCATTATACAAAAATTGAATAACGAAGGAATCTTACGCCTTTCGAAATTGAAGATATACAAAACTTTATTCATGGAGCAAAACAAATCGACATTACACTATCCAACAATAAGTATTTGGACACACTTTCCGCCATTTAATATCGTATAGTAAACAATATTGGCTTTATTCGCGTGCAAGACGCAACGCAGAGTTATCTGATCGAGAAACGTGTAATAATCGCCGGGTATCACATTAGTATCAGTAGATACTTAAGGACTAGATCCAGCGAGTTGAATCACCCAAAATCAATAGTGATTATACAAAAATCGAAGGTAAGCGATGATTTTGGAATACTCCCCAAATAGGCAGACCCACAATACTGGGAGATAGAGACTCCTTTTTCGATAAATAACATCTGTAAGGAAGCACATTTGCTTGGTTTTAATAGTCATGCTGCCTTCCACAAGGCTTTGATCACTAAGGTCCATTACTACCATCTTTTAGTTAAGCTATCTAAGGGATTATTACCACGGTTACGGCTATTTTACGCGCTCTGATTGGCTAGTAGATGGGGTTATCTATAAGATAAATTTAACTAATAGATGGTAGTAATGGACCTAAGTCCAATGGAGCTGCTCGGTTAATGTTTTGTAAAACACGTCGACAGTGAGCTAAAAACAGTGAAAACAAGTTCTTTGCGGCGTCAAATCAAGGTTCACCCTGTACAATTCGGATAACAGGATTTGGGATTATGATCTGGGGTTGTTTCCGCTGGTATGGACTAGAACCCTTGGTCCCAATTCGTGGTAAGTTCGATGACTTCTACATAATTTTAGATAACAATCTGCTTCCTTAGTTATGGCAGCTGAATACCATCAAGAATCTCTGGGACAAATTGGATTAAGGGGTGCAACAAGAATCCAAATTCTCTACCAAGAATAGAATAAAATTTATCTCTTTTCTATTACATATATACAAATACTTATCGATAGATAGTGCAGTAAGTAGATATAAGCAGAATAGATGGAAAACTGGAGAAATTGGAACTTTGAGCCTATTCAAATAATATTGAAACTTCAAAGAAAAAAGTTAAAAACACAGAGAAGAAAATTATCATAGTTTCGTCTTTCAAATAGACGGATTATAGATATTAATTTAAGCTGTTAATTATATTTAATTTATTTGTATTACAAATATCGACAATTCGCAGTCAGTATTCTTCATGATTAGTATATTCAAAGTATGCCATACTCATTAATGTAGTTATTGTATCACTAAAGTTATGACAGAATTATCACATACTTGTGATTTAGTGTATTGCTTGCCAATTATCGGTGAAATATGTTCAATACAACCATTAATAATTGGAGGTGGTTGGTCTTTAGGATGGCAATTGAAACTGGTTACGCTTAAAAACAATGGCAGTTAATTCGGCAAAGGAACACAATCCTTTAATCCCCAGTAGGTAAAAGGTGTCGTTTACGTGGAGTATTAAAAACTTCAATCCTAAAGCAAAAAAGTGTTCTGAGGTTTTGTGATTAATATAGAAAATATGTAAAACACTTTTTATTGTTGGTCTAATCTTTCTTTTAAGATATTACTCAACTCTAATGAGCATTCTATCTGGATACTAACTATTATATAATTATAATACATTAGATTATACAGTGAATTTCACTTAAGATGTAATCTATTTATTATTAATTAAAGATATATTTCCATAGAAACCAGGGCGTACCTGAATACCTGAATAACTTTGTCCCACATAACATGCAACATGTCAATAGAATTTGACATTACAATAAAACCTCGATAAAATATACATATACTACAATCTAGCGGTTAATAACAAATAAAACCAGACTAACACTAGAACTAACACTAGACCTAGAACTAGAAACATTTCGTTTAGCCGCGCGTCTCTTAAGATACGCCTAAACCTGAATGTTTGTAGTTCTAGGTCTAATGTTAGTTTTAGTGGTAATGGTAGGTAGCACTAGTTAGTGCTAGTTAAGATATCACTATGTTGCATATTTTTATTGCACTAAAACGACAACTAACACTAGAATTAACACTAGAATTAGAACTAGAATCATTCGGGTTTAGCCGTCTTGAGAGAAGTGCGGCTAAATCCGAATGTTTCTAGTTCTCGGTCTAATATTAGCTCTATTTTTACACTAGCACTATCACTAGAACTGGCACAAGACCTAGAAGTAGGGTCGAAAACTCAGGGGGTTATCATAAGGACATCACCTTTTTCCAAGCAAAACTTTTTCTTTGTAAAACTACCCAATGCCTATACTATTTAAGCTATGTTGCATTTTATTTGGGGCAATGCAACTGTATAGTAATTTTGTAACTATGGCTACTGCATTCAGATTATATGTAATTCCCGGTATAGAATTTAGAAAGATATTCATGACCTTTATGAATCAGCAAAGAAATTCGCTCGGCCATTAAACAATCAAGTGAAAACAAGATATGAAAAGAGTGCGAATGAAAAGTTAGAACTAGAAAGAGTCGACGAAGAAATTTACATAAATAATGTATGAATGAAAGAAAAAGATTCTTGTGGAAAAAATGATTATGTTCATAGAATAAAAAAAGTTTATCTTGGAAGACATTGCAAATTAAGAAAAGGGTGGTGATGCAATATCAAAAGTTTCAAAAACAGTGACCACCATAGATGAATGAGCTGTCATAAAAACTTGCCATATGGTTTTAATTAAAATGCTATCCGCAATTAACGTTAAACTATTTATTTAATCGATTTAATATGAACAAAAAGAAAAAGAAACAGTATCAACTTGTAACGAAATTAATTTCCATTCCCTTCATATTACTCATTAGATAGAAAATCGAAAATTCAAATTCGGAATTTCGTTGGAAGTCCGTGGGGAAGGGTTCGAAGGGGGTCGTAAGCTCGATGGCTCCCTCCGCGGCAGCCTCGGAGCCGCCGCCGACGCCCCCGCCGTTCGTTCATTTTCATCTCACTTCTTGTCCCTTTCTCTCGCTCTCGTTGGCTCCCTCGTTTTCGGTCGCCTGCCTCGCGCCTCGCCCCCGTCGAGCATTGATTTTCATACGGCAAAGTAAAAAAGGGGGCGCCTGCGTAAAGCGGGATTTAATTAACGACGCCCCGACCGTAGGATCTGGCGCGTACAAGAAACCCAGCCGGATGGACCCCGCTCAGCCCTTTTTCTCCCTTCCTCCATCCCTCTTTCTCCCCAACACACTAAAATTGGAAAATTTCTAACCTAACGAATTTTTGAGTGGAAAATTTTTTTTAATCCAAACATATTTTAGGATACACAAATATGTTTAGAATTTAATTAATTATTTAAACAATGCGAAATTGTTTATATTTAAATTTACCTAACACATTAGAATCAATTTAATATGAACTAAAGCAGTAATTGAAAATGTTATATTGCCGTATCGATATTTCATTAACGTAAATGTAATCAAAAAACCATTAAAAATAAGTCATTAAAATTAATCAATGATTCTATACTATTAATAAAGATGATAACTCAAGATAATAAACAAAATAAATATTAATTATCTTTATTTCAGAAATTTATATTGAAGATGCATACATAGACTTTTTCAGACTAAATTGATTGAATAGGAAATATTAAATAAGTTGCAGAATATCCTCTTCGGTGTATTTAAAATATACAAGAAGAAAAAAAAGTGAAGAAGAGAAGGAGCAAAGAAGAAAATGAGAGAGAGTCGAAGACGCTGGTCGTCGTTGGAAGGGAAAAATTCGTTTATTTAAATTGTGAATTTGGCAACGCCGCCACCGGCCGCCGAGGCACAGCAGCAGCCGGCCCCAGATGCCTGCACCCAACCAACAACCCGCCCCGAAACCTGTTTGCCTTCGAAACGAGAGGAGGTAATATAACTCTCCGAACGAAAGAACGAACGCCGGCTTCGTTGCTCCCTAAGAACTAAACGAACCAACTAACTAAAGAAGAACTCTTCTTCCATCCATATTTTTTTATTAACAGATCGATACATTTAAGAATATTTATTGAATAACCCCAAAATTTACTTGATATCAATCGAGTTATTTCATTTAATTCTTGGCGACATAACAAAATTAACAAAGAATAAAAAAAAAACCAGTCGGATTTTAAACAAGATTTTTTCACCTTAAAGAGATAATGACGTCAAATGTTGAATAAATTAATTGAGAAATTCTTAAAATTAACTTACCCAAGTTACAAGTTCTAGTTATTTAAGGACTCATTAAAAATCGTTTAAAATAAACTTTTTATAATTTCATTAAATAAAAATAAAATTGCTTTGCTTACAAGATTCATTCAACTTACCAATTAAATCAGAAAAACAATAAAAAAAATCGGAATTTTAAACAATTTCGTTTTTACCTTAAATAAATAATGACCTTGACATGTAACCCGGTTGTTTGAACTTTCGAAGGAGAAGGCACGCATAACACAACTCCAAAAATAATCCTTTCTCAACGTTCACATTAACACAATATGAAAAAGTGCAATGACATATTGATTAAATTATTAAAATGAGAAATGCTGGAATAAATTCGATTATTAATCTTCGATAATATATTTATTCTGAGCTAGATTTTAAAATGTCTTAAGCCAAAACGAAAAAATTATAAAACCAATAAGTAGATTTCTGGTCAGTTTGGTTAATATCCGGTTTAAGAATAGTCTTCTCAAAAAATTAAGCCGTAAATCCGGTTTTTATAAATCAGTTGTAGCATATATTTTTTAATTTAGCGTTCATCTGCAAAACTGAAATTAAATTTAAAAAATTTGAAATAAACAATTAAACATCTTATCCATTTATATGTGGTTATTCACTTGTTATTTTGAAGTTAGAAACGAATGAAAGACTCATTTAACACCGTAACACAATTTTATCGCTATGAGTCATTATCTAAGTTAATAATTTGACGATATCTTTTTGCATAAAATGAATAATGGAACAGTGTAGATATATTCTTACATTTATCATTTATTTATTTAAGAATTTTAAAAACAAAAAGACTTACCTTCCATCTTTCGGCACATTTCTTGCTGAATTCGGCGAATACAACATTTTCTTTCGGGTGTTTTTTCTTGTGTTCTTCACGGCACGTCTGTACGAAAAAAGCGTAGGCGGTCATCCTGCCTCTCGGCTTCGCGTTAGCCTTTCCACGCGGCATCCTGCCTTTTTCCTGCTGTTGCTGGTGCTGTTGCAGGCCCGCCAAAATCTGCTGCTGTTGCAGCGGCTGGTTGTTTGGGTGGTGGTGGTGGTGGTTCTGCTGTACCTGCTGCTGCGCCACCAACTGGTGTTGTTCCTGCTGGAGTTGAGCTTGCCTCGCCTGCGCCTCTACCACTTGCTGGTGAAGGTGCGCCTGAGCCTCCTGGTACTGCCGGTGTGCTTCCTGCTGTCGCTGGACTGCTTCTTGTTGTTGCTGCTGTCGGTGCGCTTCCGCTACCACTTGTCTGTGCGCTTCCGCTGCTGCTGCTGCTGCCGCTGCCGCCGCGTTTTGCTGTTGCTGCTGTTGTTGTTGCTGTTGCTGCTGTCGCTGAGCATCCACTTGTTGCTGCTAACAAAATAATTTTATGATATTAATTAATAATTTCATTCAATAAAATTGATAATCTAGTGAACCGTCTCAAAAATAAATGAATTCAAAATTTTCCACCAACATGTGAAGGAGCAAGTTTTTGTCTAAAACAACAATAAACGTTATTTTTTATTTGAACAACTTAATTAAACTCATGATTGTGCTCAAGCAACACCTTTACTCATAAAGATATATTGTCGCGAGTAATCTTGTGTCACACACAGTGGGGGAATGAGACTATAAAAGTTAAGAGACCGTGATGCTAAACATTCTGCTGGAACATCTAAGCACACCACTAGAAATTCTTTTTTTAATTAAATAATTAATGTAAAATAATACATATCACAAAAAATTACTAAAACTACCAAAGGCATTGCCCGAAGACCATCGAGTCTTTTTATTATTATCAACTTGATAAATATTAATGGATCATAATTAATAGAAATTAACTTAAAAATTATGTGCACCCGTTGTTGTTTTCAAATCGTCGCCTCGAATAATTCCGAAAATGTAATTAACATTAATTAATAATACTTTTGATAGGTGTAGTTCGATTGTTTAGTACTACTTTATTGCTTTGCGGTCTTTACGCATTTCGATTTTTGGATCAATAAAAGATAGGGAAAACTACAAAGCCGTTTCGTCTCATTATGTAATAAAACACCGATTTAAAGCAAAATTAAGGAAATTGTAAAGAATATTTAAACAATTACCTGCGATATCAGGAATTATTGGAAGTGCTTTTACTCAAATTTTCACTTTAAGTTCATGCAAAGTAAAAGATCGAGTGGAGTAAACTTTATTTTTCAGATATCCTCACAGGAAGAAGTAGTGTGGAATCAAATTTGATGAAACCATTTTGAGAATATGATTCACAGGTGATGTGGACATATTACACGATGATGTAGATTTTATACAGACATGATTCAGCTTTAATCGGAAAAAAATTTTTCTAATAGAGGCGGATCGATGTTGAGACTGTGGCGGCCATGTTGGTTATAAATAATCGGCCATCGCCCGTACGTCAAAGGAATGCCAGATAGGCTGAGAACATCGCCTCTGTCTGTGAAAGTATACAGGAGAACCCAAGACATCAGTTTCTGGAGAAGAACTTTCGCAGACTTCAACTTGGCGAATTTTGAAAACAATTGCAAGCTTATGCAGGAGCTCAAAGTTAATGACAACAGACAACGCCGTTTGTTCTCTTAGTCGGAACTTTTGGAAGAGGACAACTCACACAAGATTTATCAGGTGGAAATACATGCATAAAAAGTTACTGCTTGGTGTGGATTTTGAGTTTGCGGCATCCTTGGTCAGAACATCGTCGCTGTTCGTGCAAGTGTGCAAGAAAACCCAACATAGTCATTCCTAACCAAGCAAGAGAACTCGTACAAAATTCAACTAATCCAAAAGCTCAAAGTTAATGACCATAAACAACACCGGGTTTTGTAGCTTTCCCCAATTGTGGCGATTTCTAAATTAATTGCTATGTTAACAAAAAAAACAAAAGGAGAGTATGGTCATCTTTGATTACCAAGATCCAGACTTAGACGTAGACTTTGTATCCTCAAAGTCAACGAAAACCAAACCATAGCTTGAATTTAGCCAAATCTACTTGAATAGTGGACGTCTCGAATCCGTGTCACCGGTGTATTTTGAACGGTGTCATATTCCGTACATAATAGCTTTTCAAATAAACAAAGAATTTCGTTAATCACCTCACACACAGCTTGTTTTATTCCTTTTCAACATCAACCTCCTTTTATTAGAAAACCCGTGATATGGAGATATTACGTAATCTTGATACATTTCTAGATACAAATCGTAAATACATTATGTAGTTTAAGAGTTTTGATGGAGACTTAACTCTGGACGGATTGGACTTGATAGAAAATCCTATCCCTAGATGATCTTTTTTTTTAAAGAATTATTTTCACATCACGTTATAGGGCTGAATACTAATTCGACGAGGTTTACAGTTATCCTGTCCCTTCATCATAAATAGACACAAGTGAAGCCAAGTTTTTGGAGCATTTTTTGGATTATGGTAATATTCTACTCAGATGACGGAGTTATTTTGACAAAAATCGTAACATTAGTAATGATTACAACAAAAAGGTCCTAATAGTAGTTTATATAAGAACTGAATAAAGATGCAAGCGTAAGCAGTCACGGCGATAAAATCTTATCGCCGCAGCTGGAAAGGGACTGAATTTTTATTTTTGAAGATAGCCTTAATCTAATATAAAAACAAATGTTATGGTTATGTTATTGAATACTGAAAAAGCACTTTTTAGTGGTTACTGGATGGTAATAACTCTTAATTATAATACCAATATTTATATACATATATGTATAGAATAAAATATATAAATCCTTCTTGCATGGATTTGCAATATGAAGCGACATACAAATGAGTGCATTTGTATGTCTAAAATTTCCTAAGTTTCTATTAAAAATTGTACAAAAGTTTTAAAGGATTTTAAAGAATTCTATTTGAAATACAGCAAGTGTGAGTGATACATATTTAAAATGATATCCAGGAACATCTACGAATAACAACATTTTCAGAGGGTTTTCAAAAACTGCAGAGTATTTAGAAAGATGTCAAAAAATATATAGAATTTCTAAAGTTTTTAAAAGGCAAATGGAGAATTTATCAAAATCGTTAAAGAATGTTTACGAATTTCTGAGACCTTTCACAGTATTTTCAAAGATGTCGGACGGATTTTTTTTCAACAGTTTGGAATTCCAAGATTTTCAAAAACGACCAAGATCTGCGATATACAAGATTAATAATTACAAATTATTATATATTTGTATTATATACAAATTGATAATTTATCAAATTATACAATTTATCTTAAAAAGGCCTAATATACAATCAAAAGGCACATGTAAATGGGAACTTTTAAAATAGTAAGTCATGTATAGCTTGATTCAATGTGGAACAAATTGCAACAACCATAGAAAACCAATGTTTCAGTGTAACTAATGTTTGAAAGGTTCGCAAAGAAAATTACTATGTCTTTTTAAATGGCCGGGTTAGAAACTAAGAAGAGTATAATAAGCCTTAAAGTAAAGTGTTAGTCGAATTATCTGCAAGTCGTATAAAGCTTAAAGGAAACGATCAGTTGCAATTAGAATTTTGCCACCAAACATTAACGCGAACAATGAATTTCTATACAAGCTGTAGATGTCAGATGAATGCCAGGTCGGTCAAGGACACTGAATCAATTGAAACAAACAGGACGAAATTCGTGGTATCCCAGCTGAGATCTTGCTGCGATCAATGAGGAACTTGAACAGAAAATTGGAAGAATACCAACGATACCAATACTAAACACGCCATGTAGAGGACGTAACGTTTTAGATTTGATGTGTTGTAACTCTACCGGTTTCGATTTTTACGTATGGACCATCATCAGGATGAAGATAAAAAATTAGTTATATCTTTTAGTAACTAATCATATAATATTTTTTGGTTATGAATATTGTAACACGAATATATTTAATGTGTATAAAATTGATATCACCAAATATTCCTCACTGCCCCCTAGCACTAAATAGTAAATATAAAAATACGAATTTCGAGGTTGTCCGAGAGCTTTTTGCTGGTTGAAGACTATCATTAAATTGAATCCTGTGATAAATAGATCGGAAACTCCCTTCCACAATATACTTAACATATCGCTTTGATTATAAAATCTAGCGCGGTAATTTATCATCATAATGGTCGGTCATTTTGTAACAAAAAAAAAGTCTTATTATAATTCCAGGCAATTTATTTTATAAAGATATTTCATTTTATGCAAAAGGCCAATGATTTACGATATTAAAAAGAACAGTCAACAAGACGAAGCGTTATTATTAAAGAAAATAAACAGGTGGTGTTCTAAAAATAGAATGAGGAAGGAAGAGGAGAGGTTCGTGGAGTTCGGGGAAAAGGCAAGAAAAGAATAGGGGATGCCGGCTCCACACAGGTAGCCGAAATGAAATAATACAAAGGCAGAAATAGACATGAAAGAAAAGAAGAAAACGGTGCCATTTAAGAGAATTGAAATAACAAGAACCCAAATTTTCACAAAAGAATTAGGATTTCTGTTCACTCCAAAAAAAAGCGACAAATTTATTGTTTCGAAATAATATTAATGGCAAAAAGTAACGCTTGCTGAGTTGGGCATTTTGATTAGATAATATTAAGGACAAAAACTTCTACAGGAAAGACAAAATTAAATAAAGCATTGAAACAAAGACTAATATACAGGAGTTTTCGTATTACAACACCTGTATATGAAGAGCACCTGCACTATGGAAAAATACCAGGTCTAAAATGGTCTGGACAAAAAAAAATTGTCGAATAAGATTATTGGTTAAATAATTGGCTAAAATTAGAAAACTCGGTGAAAATAAATTTAAAATAGATGATGAAATAATAACAAACTATTTTCCCGTATTTACTCAAAAAGCAGTTGTTCATTCGGTCTTATTTTTAGATATAATGTAGGAAAAAAACAAGCAAAATAAGTAGTAACATCATTCTTCATGTTATAACTAATACTTCGCAAGTAAAACATCTCCAATTTGAAGATTGCCTTTAAATAATTAGAATAATGGAAGTTATTAAAAAATATCGTTAAAACATTTTTTCTTCCTTATTTGATTTTTTCAATCGAAGGCGCACCCAAAAACAAAACCAACCAAACAACCTGTACCTCGGCCTCCAAAGATAATGACCCTGATTCGGTTCGATAGTATAATAATAAATTCCTCCGACCATCTCTTTTTAAAATCGTTCACTCAAGTCAAAAACGAAATCTCAGAAAAAAAAAATGTTCCGAAATTGTATTTTTGGGTGATTTTTTCGACGGGCGTTGAGGGAGCTCTCGTTTTTATCATTATTTTTTTCTTACCACGGGCGGTGAAGGTGTATGTACATTCGGCATGGTCTGCATATTGTTCTGTGCATTATTTTGCATAGACGAGTCCATTGCACTAGGGTACCACCATTGCGAGGCCGGCGTGGGGCTCATGGTCGGGTTCCCCCCCATCGCCCCACCGCGATAATCGTACGCGCCCCGGACGCTCGAAGAGACGCTCGTGGGCGGACTCTGGAAGCTGCTGGCCATCTTATACGAGAAGATCTGCTGATGAGCAGGAGCCGCGGCCGAGGTGCTGCTGCTATTTTGAAGCTGTTGCAATTGCTGCTGCTGCTGCTGTTGTTGCTGCTGCTGCTGCTGATGTTGCTGGTGGAGGATCTGCTGGTGCTGTTGGAGCGATTGCTGTTGCTCGGCGGTTATGGACCCCGGCCACCACATGCCTCCTCCGGCTCCACCTCCGCCTCCTCCACCACCACCTACACCACCACCACCGCCGCCGCCGCCGCCGCTTCCGACTCCGTCTTCTCTACCGCCACCCCAAGCGCCCCTGTTATGCTCGGACATAACTAAAAGATACGGTCTAAAACCGAAAAAAGAACGCCGAATGTGCGCGCCCGTCTTTCTCGTACATCGGTGAAGAGAAAAATGAAGAAAAAATCTGTTTTACCTTTGTCCCAACGTAACCGAAAAAAAACTTAAATATTTCTTTAATTATTTAATATTTTTCACTCCGAATGGAAAAAAAATAAATAAAACTATTCACACTACCACCTTACGACCGAGCCGGGTAAATTCCACATCGTCCATTTAATTTTAATACCCCCGGCAGAAAAAAAGGGAAGAAGCACCCCGACCGACAGATACTTTTCGTGCCGTTACGAACGATTGAACGACCAAATTTTCGCACAAGACTTTATTTGAATACCGCTTCAATTCGAAAGAAAAACTGAACCGTCGAAAAGATTCTCGAACGAACGAGAACGCGACGAGTGTTGCTAAAATCTGGCAACGCAGTAGTACAAGAAGAGAGGACGCCAGCAGCGCTCCGAGCGCCATCACACGCAGCGGCGAATCGTCGAACGAACCCCTCCTCTCCACCCCTACCAGTTTTCCGAGTCCGGTCAATAAGACATTCCCGGGGTTTGGGGCTTAGGGGTAGACGACCAGAGGGGGGAGCAAAACGGAAACGAGACTCGCTCTAACGTCTAAAATAAAAATCGACCAGGAAAAAACCGAAAAATTCTCGCAATACGATTGTTTTAAATAATTTTTTCTGTAATATCGTGTTCGACTTTATAGGTCGCAGTTGGTACGGCGCCATCGACTCTTTTTACTTTCTCGTTTGGTTTTTGGTTGTCTTATTTTTAACTCCGAGCCGGCTGTTCTCTCCGTCTCTCTCTATTTCGCTCGCGGCGTTTTAACCGATTTCAATATGGCGGACCAGATTCCCGCCAAAACATATTGATAAAAAATATATTTATGTTGAATATTTTTTACAGCTAATTTTAATCAAAATTAATACAAATCTTATGTACAAACATTTTTTTTATTGTTCTTATTGTATTCTAATTATGTACCACTATAGATTACAGGAAACTGTAATTTCATTTTTCTATTCTATATAAAACCTTTGAATCACATATTTAGTTTGTATTCAATACGATTGCTTATTAGAAATATAGAAAGGAATAATATTTTATTAACATTTCTTATTGCACATATATAGTGAATTTCACTTAAGAAGCAATATACAAAAAACCAGGGAAAAGCTTTGTCCCACATAAAATGTAACTTATCAATATAATTTGACATTAAAAGTGGGTTCATGCAAAGTGTTTTAGTTTTAATCATAGTCACAGTAGTTTGCTTTAGCTATAGCTATAAGGAAAGGGCACAGCACATTAATGGAGGATTTTGACATATAAACAGTCGTGGCACAACTCGTGCCAAATTAAAAAAAAAAGAAATCGGGAGTGAAACTGTTTTGTTTATTATGAACAAAAAGAAAACTGTTGTCGCTGCTAGAGTAATGTGCTTGAATGCAGCTCTATTAATCGCACAAAGATTAAGAAATAAAAGACGACGGTGTTTTGGCAGAAGACCAATCAATACAATTAGAAAATTAGAGGGAAATTATGCCATTCTGATTAGAAACATGTTGGAGAAAGAGGAAGACGATTTGCAATTTTTTAACTATGTTCGCATGTCGTTCGAAGAGTTTAATTAATTGCTAAAACTGGTTGAACCTTTTTTAACAAAAACACCAAATAAAGGTGCAATTTCACCCGCTCAAAGGTTGATAGTAACCCTACAATAAAATACAAAACCCAACTGACCTAACCTCAATTTATAAAATAAAACAAAAGAGAAAAGTGCGCATGCGTCACGTTACGACCAATTGTTTTAGCTTTAAGAAGTTAAAAGTTGGGTAACTCTTGGGACTAGGACAAAAACCATTTCAGTTGTAAGGTGTTGCATGAACAGTACTACTATAACACAATACCTTAACTTTTCACTCTTACGGTTATGCCAACAACTACGACTAAAACACGTTGCATGAACCCACCTTAAGTGTGTCTTCAGACGCACGGCTAAATCCAAATGTTTCTAGTTCTAGGTCTAATGTTAATTCTAGTGACAGTGTAAGTGTAAAACTAGAACTAACACTATACCTCACCGCACGTCTCTAAAGACGGCTAATAGAAAAAATGAAAAGTTGGATAAATAATTGAGGTTGGATTAATAATGAGACTGTTGGTCTAGGTATAGTGTTAGTTCTAGTTTTACACTTACACTGTCACTAGAATTAACATTAGACCTAGAACTAGAAACATTCAGGTTTAGCCGTGCGTTTGAAGTCGCACGGCTAAACCCGAAACTTTTTAGTTCTAGGTCTAGTGTTAGTTCTAGTTGTAATTGTTATACAGCACTAGACCAACAGTCTCATTATTAATCCAACCTCAATTATTTATTATCCAACTTTTCATTTTTTCTATAATGTTAGTTTTACACTATACAGGACGATTTATTAGATCACCATCAAACTTTGACAAATGATAGCTAATCGAATTACCAAAAAAATATGTTAATGAACATATGTCCTATTTCAATTATTTACGAAATTATAACACTTTAAAGTTTTCTGCAGCGAATTTATTAATATTTTAGGTAAGTTAAATAAAAATTAATTTAATTTTATTTTACTGTTGATCGATGTTTTTTATTTGTAATTATTCACTCTTACATGTTTCGGCCTAATAGGTCATCATCCTAAAATAAACATAACAAACTGCGAATTACAATCAAATTTTATATTTTAAAACATTTTTACATTTTAAAAAAGTGAGGTTAAACATATTATATCCTTTAAAAAAAATAAACGAACTTAAATTTGTTACTTACTGCGTCAAATGTTTGGAGATGAATTATTTATCATTGGGTTGGATTGATTATTTTGTTATTTATACACCAAAATTTAACATTAATTAACCAAAAACTAAAAACTTTAAATGAACGTTGTTCTTTAATTGTGCGTTCTACATAGGTTAATAACGTGTTCTGCATTTATTAATAAAATAAAAAACATCATCAGTAAAATAAAATAAAATAAATTTTTATTTAACTTACCTAAAATAATTGATATCGATGAAAATGGATCCATACAATAACTCTAACTTATTAATAGTCAGTAAATCAAACATTCAACACAACAAAACAAACAATACATACAAGAAGAAACTCAAAATGTACGCCTATAGCACTGAAGAGTATGCTGATATAATTTTCGTGTATGGTTTTTGCAATGGAAATGTTCGACAATCAGAACGGCAATATCATTTGCCATATTATTTAGTTTTTAGCGATTTTTTCAGAAGACTTTGAGAAACAGGTAATCCTGCTCCAGCAAAAGCTATTCAACCGCATGTAATTAATGTAGAGGACGAATAAGCTGTAATTAATGCTGTCATTGATAATCCTTCAACCAGCTCAAAGAATAGCACACAACATACATGTAAGTCAAAATTTTGCATGGCGCGTATTGAACCGCGAAGTCCTTCATCCGTATCGTAAACAGAATGTTCAAGCTCTACAGCCAGGAGATAATCAGCAACGGTTAGCATTTTATGAATGGTTATTACAGCAACATGCTCAAAATAATGATTTCATTTCAAATGTTTTCTGGACAGATGAATCATGTTTTATACGAGATGGTATAAATAATTACCATAATGAATATATCTGGGCATTACAAAATCTGCATGCGATTAGACCAAGGAAATTTGAACAACGTTTCAGCATCAACGTTTGTGGTGGAATATTTAACAACAATTTACTAGGTTTGTATGTACTTGATGGACGTTTGAACGCTGTAAATAACAGATTTTATTTGAACAACACACTTTTTGATTTACTTGAAGATATACCTCTTAATGTAATTCAAAACATGTGGTACCAGCACGATGGTGCCCCACCTCATCGCGGAAGAGTGGTAATAATGGTCCATTTGCTTGGCCACCTAGATCCCCCGACCTTAATCCATTGGATTCCTACTTATGGAGTGAAATGAAACAAATTGTGTATCAAGTGGAAATTAACACACGAGGACATATGTTCATTAACTTTTTTTTTGGTAATTGGATTAGCTGTCATATGTCAAAGTTTGATGGTGAGCTAATAAATCACCCTGTATATAATTGTTATGGTTATATACATATTATATATAGTTGGGGATTGAAAAATTAAGCCGGATCTAATTAAAAACTTCCAAACTATTATAAATGCTTATTCGATTAATAAACGAAATTTGTATGCCTAATATAACATAATTAAAATAATACCTGTGAAACAATTATTTTTTCAAGGTTGGCTATGAGAGGAATAACTTGTCTGCGTTTAAACTTAATTTTTTTTATTACAAACTAAAGAATTTTAATTTTAATTCGCCTGGTTTCAACTATATCAAACCATTATCTTAAAATAAAATTGCTTCGACATTTGACTCGAAATAAAATACTGAAATAAAAGCAGCAATAAAAAAAAATTGGATAAATTATCACCACCGCTAAATAAGTCTCAATATGATGATTATGCAAAAGACGGCATAATAAAGTGAGTTACCTCAAAGTGTAAGCTGTGGTGGAATTTATCCGGCTAATTGCAGAAGTTGTCAATACTACTTATATTATTTAACGGTCGAAATAAACAATATATACAAGAAATTGTCTTGCAGAATAAATATCACTATATAAAATAATATCTAAGTGAATAATATTTTGAATAAACATTCCCAGACAAGATCAAATTTCCCTATTCCATACTAAATTCTATTACACCAGAAATTATATCATAAGGGTTCTTATGATCGTTATCAACCCGTATAATTTAATTTAATTACTCATTGAAACTATCAGTTGTACACAAAAGTATCATTTTCAAAAGATAAACCTCAATTCATAATAATTTGTTTACTAAAATTCCAGAACTCAACTGGGAAAAACACGCTATGTTATGTAGAACCAAAGACGATAATTTTCGAAACTGATACTATTGTATATCACGTAATCATCCAAATAAGAAAAGATGTTTCCAAACCATAACCAAATTTCAAGAAATCAGTAATTACATCCAACGATGTCACTATTTTATGATAAATTTAAACTTCTAAGGAGTAAGATTAAACTATGTTATGACTCATTACACTTATTCTCATCTAATTCGAAATTTATTTGTATAATTGACGCAGTAATCCAAATTACTTTCGATTTTTACTTCAACTGCATCGAATAAAATGGAAAATATTTCGATTAGTAAATTTCTTGCAAGTGAAGAAAACGATCAATTTTCAAAAGATGAATCATGTAGTACAGAATAAGTCATGTGGAACCAAAAATTCAAGATAGCGAGCGCATTATTTACTGTTTTAGAATTGGATGAAGAAAATGATGATCGAAATGAACTGAACTGGAACCCATACAGAGATATATTGCAACTCCTTAACAGATAA